AAGCACCTGCAGGCCTCCCGGGGCACACAGTCTGCCCCGTCGGCTGCGTAGCCGGAGTCGCAGTAGCAGCCTTCTCGGCATGTGGTGCTGCAGCCGGCCGGGGTACCCAGGCCAGGGCACGGGGCCTCGCAGGTCCTGGTGCAGAGCTCATAGTGGCTGTGGAGCGGGCAGGAGAGGACTGGGGGGAAGGGGACGGGGAGGGGATGAAGAGGCAGGGCCAAGCGTAGGGGCACAGAGCACCAGGGGGGCCGGCCAAGCAGATAGGGCCTAGTGCAACCCCGGGAGTCAGCCGAAGTAAGGGTGTGTCCCACCTCCAGGCCCCACTGATTTAGATATCCAGCCATCCACCCACCTGCCCACCCATCCATCAATCACCTCCATCCATCCATCCATCCCTCCCCACAAACACCCTCTGTGTCTATTTACCTATCCATCTACCCATCCCCATAAACCTCCTCCATCCATTTCCAGAAACCTCCTCCATTTGTTGATCTATCCATGCATCCTCCCACACACCCTCTATCTATCCATCCATCCACCCATTCTTTCATCTATCCATTGATTTATCTATCCTTCTATCTATTGATCTTCCCATCCATCCATCCCCACACACGCCCTCTCTCTATTGTCCATCTATCCATCACCATAAAGACCCCCCATCCATGCACCTCCACACGCCCCATCTGTTCACCTGTCAATACATCCATCCTTCCACCCACATACCCCCCTCCACCTATCTTTGTCCACCCATCCATCCATCCCCATGAACACCCTTTGACCTACATAAGGCCCTAAATGGTACCTATGGGACACCCTTGTCCCTCCCTTCACATCGGACTGAACTTGGGGCTAAGATCCTTGAGCTGCCCCCAGCACTGGATGATGCCCCCAACCCATGGCCCAGGTCTGGGGGGCTTCACTCACGGCAGTGGTTGGACGTCCTCCAGCTCTGAAGAGTGACCCCAGCTACCTGACAGGCCACGGCGTAGCTGGCCACAATGGAACAGGTCTGTTCCTGGTCCCGGTGGAGGCAATAGTCCAAGACACAGTCCTGGAAGTAGCCCTTGGGGTCGATGTGGCTGTGACACGCCTGAAAAGGACCTCCCTCGTCCATGAGAATCCCACAGCCCTCCTTGTCTCCCCTCTGCTTCCGCTCCAGGTCGTGATCCAAGCATTCCTGATTCTCGAACTCACTGCACTCCTCCACTTCCTTCTCCTTCCAGCTCTCCCCGAAAGTCAAAGGGTCAGAGGCTGCCGTGCCATCTCGGCAGCTCAGGTCATCACCCGGGTCCCCATTGAAGTTCCCACAGAGGCCACACAGGGTACCTGCATAGGCAGCAGGTGCCGTGACAGCCACCCAGCTACTCCAGTCAAAGGTGATGGTGAGGCCAGAGGGGGTCTGGATGATGCCGTTCAGGCCTTGGCGAGACACAGACACGCTCCCATCCTTGGAAATGAAGGGCAGGGTGCTGAGTGCACCATTCACCTGGCGGCCATAAGAACAGAAGAATGAGAGGGTTTGGATGGGGAAGATCTGGCTCCAGAGCAGGGGGTTGAACTAGATGTCAAGTGTCTTGAGATCCCAGATGTTGAGTATCTGGAGATACCAGATGTTGAGTATCTAGAGACACCAACCAAAAAGTATCCAGAGATACCAGACAAGAAGTATCTAGAGTCAGCAGATATTGAATATCCAAAGATACCAGACAAAAAATATCTAAAGCAGGGGTCAGCAAGCCCCGGCACGTGTGTTAAGCATGGCACGCAAGGCCATTTTGCTCGGCACACCACCGCCAGCCCAGGCTCTAAGCAGCTGCAGCTGGGCCACAGAGCCCAGGCTGCTCCAAGCAGGTGGCTGGGAGGCTGCAAACAGCTGCTCCGGGCTCCGGTATGTTGGCACTCTGGCACCTTCCAAGGCACTCCAGCCAAAAAATGTTGCCTACCCCATATCTAGAGATACCAGACATCAAGTGTCTGGAGACGCTAGGCATTGTCTGGAGACACCAGACATTGAGTATCTAGAAATACCAGATGTATTTATAGATATGAGCCAAGAAGTATCTAGGGATACCAGAGGTTGAGTGCCTGGAGATACCAGAGGTTGAGTGCCTGGAGATACCAGCCAAGAAATATCTAAATATACTAGACATTGAGTGCCTGGAGATTCCGTACAAGAAGTAACTAGAGACACCAGACATTGACTTCCTGTAGATACCAGATGAGGAACATCTGGACATGCTAGAATGGGTTGAATACTTGAAGGGCTGCCATGAAGAAGAAGGAAAGCATGTTTTCTTTCTGTCTGCAGAGAGGAGGATGTGGAGCAATGGCTGGGAGTTTCAGCAAAGCCAGTTTAGACTGGATCTCTGGATAAACATCTTCCCTGTTGGAGCTGGGAGGAGAGACGCCCGGGGAGCTGGGAAGTCAGTTCAAGGAGAAGCTGGACAGGCACTGGTGGGGGCTGATCTTGGTGTCGCGATGGGGATGCCCTGGGCTCCCCCAGGTGTGTCTCCCATGGACTCCCTGCTCTAACAGGGAAGACAATTTCCCTGAGATCCAACCTCAACCTCAACTTCAAGCCATGGGTCCACATCCTGTGAAGATGGCTTTTCCTTCTCCTTTGTAGAGGCCTTTCAGCCAGCTACAAAGCTCCTTCAGCCTCTCCTCCAGGACTTTAGCATCTCCTCAGTGCTATCCAGGTGGCTGCGGAGGCCATGAGCCACTGAGCTTCATGGCCAAGGGGGTGGGAGGCAAGAGAGAGACCCCATAGCAGGGTGTAGCTCACCATGACCTCCCGGGGGCTCTCCTTGTTCATGAGCACAACAAGGCCACCCAGTTGGACTTCCACAGCCCAGATAAAGCTGCCATCGTAATAGGCATCGGGATCTCCCCGGATCAGGACACGGAAGTCAGCCAGGCCGGGTCTGACTCCCCCGCAGGCGCCGGCCAGCTGGTACCAGCAGCTGCCCTGGAAGGTGAATCGGTGCCCATCGAAGGTGAGGTAGTGGCTGTTGCCGGTCACGGAGCAGGTCCCATCACGTTGGGCACCTGGCGGTGGGGGAGGGGAGACGGGGTCAAGGGGACTGAGGGAGGCTGGCGGAGACCCCCTTGGAGCTGCCTTTCTCTCCCCCCCGCCCCAAATTGCAGCCGATCCCATCAGGTCTCATGCCGTTCCCAGAGCTGGAGAGGACGCAGGCATCCAGGAACCCAGACAGCTCCCTAGCTCTTACCCCTCCACCATTGGTCCCAAACCCACCGCCAGCCACTCACCACACAGAGCTGTCAGGCAGGCTAGAAGGAGTAGCCTCAGACCGGGTACCATGACTGCAGAACAGGAGGGGAAACTGAGTCAGGCCGGTGCCCCTCACTCCCTACCCACAGCCCCCAACCCTACCAGTGTCCCTCAGTCCCAACCCACAGCCCCTGCCCACTTCAGCCCTGCTATGTCCCTTACTCCCAACCCACAGCCCCCAGCCCTACCAGTGCCCCTCACTTCCAACCCACAGCCCCCTGCCCCGACCTAGCCCTGCTGGTGCCCCTCACCTGTGACCCACATTCCCTGCTCCCTAGTCCTCCCGGTGCCCCTCTCTCCCAACCCACAGCCTCTGCCCTGCCAGCCATGCCTCTCACTCCTGACTCGCATCCCCTCCACCAACCCCTGCCGGTGCCCCTCACTCCCAACCCACAGCCCCCTACCCACACTCACTGCTGGGGAGCAGGCACAGCTGCCTTGGTGGGTCGGCTCGGATAGGAGAGCAGAAACAGAGCCAGGAAGAGGCTCTTAAACGCAGGTCCTGGGTGACCGTGGCAACCTCGGCTTCCCAGGAATAGCTGGAGGTCCCTTGGGGAACTTCCCAAGAAGGCCGGGGCTGGACAGGGACCTGGAGGGGAGGGGAGGGGAGGGGCTCTCAGGACTCTATGGGGCGGGTGGGAAAACTGAGGCAGGATTGAGGCTGCGGGAAAGGGCCCAAAGACCCACCCTCCCCCCCCCAACACTGCAGCAAGAGCTGGCAGGGAACCCAGGAGTCCTGGCACTGAGTGGTTCCCCTGCCTCTGTGCCCTGGTGTGGGGGAGGGAGGGACTAAGCTCACAGTCCTTATGGGGAAACTGAGGCAGGATGCGGGAGGGTGGTGCTGCCCCACTACAGCATCCCCAGGTGGAGAACCAGGCATCCAGGCATGGGGGTTTCACCTCACAGGGGTTGGGCAGAGGCAGGGCCGGGTATCACCCCATGCCTCAGTTTCCCCACCGCTCGGTGCTGGTAGGGGGTGGGGGGGAGCTGCTGAGCAGGCTGGAGGTGGGAGCCCCCACCTCCTGAAATGACTGCTTCATCTCTCCTGCCTCCATTTTCCCACTGAGAAACATTGGGGGTGGCGGGGAGGGAACCAGCACTGGCAGGACGCCTGCTCCGTGCCTGGGTTCTGTGAACGGGTTGGGGGGGCAGGGTGGTCCCAGACACCTGGGGTCTGTGCAAGGGCCAGGTCCTGGATGCCTGGGTTCTTTGTGGGGGCAGTGGGTGGGGGTCCCGGACTCCTGGGTTCTTCGCAGGTGGGTGTCCAGGACACCTGGGTTCTCTGTGGGGGTGGCAGGTGGGGGTCTTGAACATCTAGGTTTGCCGTGAATGGATGGTGGATGAGGGTCCCGAATGCCTGGGTTTCCCCTTGCCTTTGCCTCAGTTTCCCCATCTCTCCAGGCAGACTGAAGCCCCCACCAGCCACAGAACTGCCCCCCCACCCTGCAATGCTGGGAGGCTTTAAAGGGCTGGTGCCAGCTGGGAATGGGGAGAGGTCCATGTCTTTGGACAGCCGCCCAGGCCTCAGGAAGCTGCCAGGCCTGGGCAGGGGGCCAAACTGCCCCCCCCCCCGCCTGCCTGGCCCAGCCCCGAGTGGGTGCCAGCTGGCCCCAGACCAGAGGGTTTCTGCTGATTCACTCACCCGGGGGTGGGGGAGATGTGGGGAGCCCCCAGCCCACCCCTGCCTCAGTTTCCCTCTCCAGGGGTGTCACTGTGGAGGGGGGTAATGGGGGATCCAGCCCGGCCCCCCAAGCCGGGAGAACACAGGTGTCCTCCGGAGGTTGGGGGGGCAGGCGCCTGCAGTGGCCAACAGCGGCCGCCAGGCGGCACTAGGACTTCGATCTGCATAGCCACGCCCCTCTCCCACCAACGCAGATTTGCATAGCCTCGCCCACAACCTTTTGGAGGGGCTAGCCTAGTCTGGCCCTTCACAATAGGAGGGAGAGGGTTGATTTGCATAGCCCTCCCCCCATTTCCCATTGGTGGAAGGCCGGAATTCCGGCGTCCGGGCTCCCCCTCGCCCCGGCCGTGGGGAACTGCAGCGCAGACCTGCCAGGTGTGTGGAGACGTGCCCGGGGCTGGGGGCAGGCGGCTGCACAGAACCCCTCACAGGGACGGCCTGTGTGACACTGGGATGCGCCCAGATCTGGGGTGGGGCAGCTAGAGACTTGTTGCATAGAACACCTCACAGGGAGGGCTTGTAACCTGGTGAGATGCAGCCAGCTCTGGGGTGGAACAGCCAGGAGGGGCTGCATATAACACTATAGGGAGCATGGAAATGCGCCCAGCTCCGGGGTGGGGCAGCTGGGGAACGGCTGCATAGGGCACAGACAGTCCTGGGGGGGATAGGGGGACGCCCAGGGCCCCTATTCAGGCCTGATCCGGAGGCCTGGAACTGAGACGGGACCGAGATGCGCCCAGCTCTGGGGTGGAGCCACGGGGACGACTACTAAGAACATACCGGGAGCGGGTGCTGCAGCCACCTCTGGGGTGGGACCGGGGCCCCGATCCGGACGTGTGGGCGGAAGGCACTCACTAGACTCTGGCAGCCGGAGTGGGGGTGGGGAGTGTCAGGCTTCTTGGGACCTGGAAGGCTGGGGGTGGGAAAGCAGCTGGCTCTGGGGTGGAGCAGGGTGAAGGGTAACACGTTTCCACCCAGCCCAGCCCAGCCCAGTCCAGCCCTGTTGGTGCCCCTCACTCTTGCCTCGCAGCCCCTGCCCCCCCCCGCCGCAACCCTGCCTGTGCCCCTCACTCCCGACCCATTGGCTGCATTAGTCCCCGCCCCCAGGGCATCCGGAGAACACAGGCGTCAGGGCTCATTTCCCATCATGCTTTGCCCCAACATAGCGGGGGAGGGGTAGAAAGAGGCGCCTGCAGTGGCCAAGGGGGACGACAGGCGGCGCGCGAGATCTGCACAGCTCCGCCCCTTCCCTCCCAGTGCCTTTAATTTGCATAGTGGACTGGGCCTGGCCACACCCCCTCCTGCAGTGGAGGAGGTCGATTTGCATAGCCCCGCCCCTGCACCGCCTTGGATGGGGAGCAGACCCCGCCCCCTCAGTGTAGGAGGGAATATATTTGCCTGACCCCGCCCCCCTCGCTTCTGATTGGAGGAAGACCTGGATTACTGCACCCCATTCCCCCCATCTGCTACTACCCCCAGACCCCCGCCCCACAAGAGACCCCAGGTGTCCAGGCCCCAAGACCCTGGGGGGCTATGGGGGGCCCGGGGATCCGGGCCC